ATGCAGTCGTTCCCTGTTAGCTCCGAAACAGGGAGTTCTGCAACATTCTGCTACAGGATTTGAATGCGGATAGTCACATGGGAACTGTCTGCTTGCTGTGGTTACCAGGTAGATGCCAGACTTTTGAACAGTGCTCTCCTCCTCTTCTGTAACAATCCACTTCCACCCACAGCTGGTGTGTACAGGGGGCCTCTGACCCTGGAGCCTGTGCCAGACCCCCGTTGACCCTGAGGGCTGCATCACTAGGGGAAGGGATCCTGGGGAAAGGGGTGGAATGGGGGCAGAGGAGGGGCGGGATCTTAGGGGAAGGCGTGTCATTGGGGTGAGGGTGGAGTCAGAGCTGGGCAGAAAGAAGCAGGACTCTCCCCAGGCTAGGGGTGACACAGGGAAGAATCACATAGGGAGGGGGTAAAGTGATGAGTGCCCACTTTGTGTCCCTCTCCATCTGTTGCCAATAGCAGTGTGCGAGGATTGGACTGGGGAAAGCTGGCTGTGGCCTTGTCATGCCTTCTCTCCTCCCTGACTCTGCTAGTTGCCTCACATCCACTCCGTCCCCCATCCAGGCTGATCCCCTCTGTCTCTTGCTGAGTGTTTGCCCAGCACAACGGTGCCTGATCTCAGCTGTGGATGCCAGTTGTCCCTGGTACACTGTGATGGCGTGTTGGGGGTCCCCCCCCGATTCTGCAGCCCCGTAGCAGCAAGAACAGGCTCCGCCAGCCAGTAGATTAGAGAGGGTTTATTGCTTCTCCAGGATACAGCACAGCATAGACGTGATGTGGCTACAGGAGTCACGATCAGGATGCCTCAGACCCCTTGAGATGGGGTGCCTGGGCCCCTAGACTCCCAATCCCCTCCTTAGTCTGTCTCCTTCATGGTTCCAGCCCAAGACTGCCCTTTCCCCCAACACGCACTTCCTTTGTTCCGTCCCTTCCCTTAACCGGTAAGACCGGTTCGGTCACTGTCATGGGGGCCCTCCAGGTGCCCCCCGCTGGGCCATGCTTACAGACAGAGGCCAGCAGGGGTCATTCACAGCCCATAGCCCAAGCAACCAGCAAGGTACTGACATTACATCACACACACGACCAACACCTCCAGATGTGGAGGGTTTCCTATGGCTGCATGGGGCCTGGAGGCATTTCAGCTCCCTGGGCCAGCTCCCTCCATCGTCCAGCTCCCGTCCATTTGGAGTTGCACTGGCCATGAAAGGGGCCCGTTGTCTTGGCTTCTTGGGGGCTTTTGGCTGAAACTTCCGGCTGCTCCCACAGGTCCAGACTGATAGAGGTATAAGGCCAGAGGGGAGCTGATTAGTCAGAACTCTTGAGAGCATCTCACCCAGCAATTCCTGCATCAGGCCCCAAGCATCTGGCTGAGCTAGAGCAGAACTCTTAGAAAGAAATGCCCTGTCCTGATTTAAGAATTCATGTCCCTAGGTGAGCTCCCCGAAAGGTGAATTACCCCCACAGTTAAATCTGTGCATCCTATTCCTAGCCTGACTCTTACCTAGCGTCAGCTTCTAGCAGCTCTTCCTTGATCTAGATTCAAGAGCCCTGCTCTTTCAAATCTCCTACCCAATTTCAAAGGTCATTTAGTCCAACCCTCTGCTCAAACCAGGACCAGCCCCAGCTAAATCCCTCCAGCAAGGGCTTTATCAAGACAGGCCTTAAAATCTTCCAAGGATGGAGATTCCACCCTCTCAGATCCAACCTAGACATTGTCCTGTAGATACTGGGGGGTTTAGGATCTCTGAATGTCACAATCACTACAGCCTGCAGCTGGTACTGAAGAACTGCAAAAAACTTGAGGCCAACATGTTCCGAAAGTGAGCTCTCCTAGGATTACATGAATCATGGCGTATAAATACACTTGTGTTCTATTAACATAAGGTTGGGAATTTTTAGGGCATTTCATTGCATTTTATGTTTAATTTTAGAAACCTGAATAAGTTGGGTTTCTAAAGGACAAGAATAATAGAAACAACCCCCTTGCCTCTCATCAGTACACACACACACACACAGTTCAGCAGGATGTCCTCACGCCAGCTTGCTTTTATTAAAAGAGGAGTAACAAATCTTATACGGGAACTTCATGGACTTCCTCCCAACTTTCAAGGTTCTGTGCAGGCCAAATGAGCAGCCGCACTTCTGTGTTCCACCGCGGCAGGATCTGATGATTTTGGAAGCAAGTGGCTATCTCCCAGACTCCCTGGACAATCAATCAGAAAATCACCTGTACAAAGAAAAAAGAATCAGCTTTGAATGTTTTTGGTGTTTTCCCAAGGTTAATACCAAGTTTGATTGTGATTCAAATGGCGTGGAAGGAGTGATCCAAGTATAGGGAATCCCTCGCCCCTCTTGCAACATTGGGTTATAGCTGGGGTTCGCAGCCGGAGGCTGGGGCCACAAATAAGTTGAGGGATCCACCAAAATAAACAGGGCTTCAGCCTTAAGTGGTGGGCCTGGAGGAAAGAATGCCACCTCCCCTCCCTGACTCACCTCAGAGGACCACCCAATCTTTTTGTTACCATCGGGAATAATTTCCGACCTGCATCAAGAAAACAAGAATACTATTCAGTTTTTTAAATTTTGTACCTATATATTCCTGTCCTTTGTTGTATTATATGTGTGTGTTTAACTGTATAACTATTCATTTAATCCAGTCTTTTGCTTTCCTGCAGATGCAGAAAACCATTTGTGGTACAGGTAGATGGTGGAGTTTTAAGGACACGTCAGAGGAGGCCTCACGAAAAAGCGTGAGCATCAACTATGTCACAGAGTTTCTCAGTGGATCGTTACAGGCATCCAGTCACTGGCTGCCTATAAGCAGCACACTATAGAAAAGCACAACTCACATCCTTGAAGAGTTGTTCTATCAAACACACATCTTGTCTACAGTGGAAGCTAAAAGGAGACACACTTAGGTCATGGAAAGTTAACTTTGAATGAATTTTAGGGAAATTCTAATTCTGTCCAAAGCCTGACTCTCTTCTAGGGCCAGTTCCATGTTAGCAGACCTGATGAATGAGAGCAGGGTTCTCTGGGAATGCTCAGTGAATTAGCAGGATCATTCCAGCCTATGCCACTTGCTCTTATTCTGTAGCCAAAGTAGCTGCCAGCATGACATCCCTGATCCTCAATCTGGTATTTTAATAGTTGGGAAAGTGTCTCCTACTCCCTCTTGTTTCTCTAGGACTTGGCCCTGCTGCGACATTAATTTGACTGGCTGGCCAGCCTCTACAACGGTTAGCAACAAACAGAACAGGATGAGAAAGGGCTGCAAAGCTGCAAGGTGGACGAATTAACTTTACGGAAGAAACTTCCTGCTTAAAACCTTCACGTTCATTCTGAATGTTCACTCTGTGTTCACCGAGATTTCCATAATTGCCTCCCCTGCTTCGCAAAAGGGGGGAAATAGAGGGCTAGGAGCTAAGTTGCCTGAAGGAGAGGAGGATCCATCCCCTCTTCAATGAAAAGAGAGTAGTGAACATTCTGCCGGGTCTCCCTTGTGGAACCTGGAGCCTACCTTCGACAACAATGGCCAATGATGCATCTGTCAATATATATGGATTGGGTGGGACATCGCCAAAAGTGACAGCTACCCTGTTGGCGTCGACATTGCCTTCGGGTCACCACGCCCTGGGAGAATCCTGGCAACAAAATACATACATACATACATACATACATAAGCAAGCCTTAATCATCCTTCCGCAGAGTGGGATAAATTACAGTTGTGATGGCATGATGACAGACATTTTCCATTTACTGGGACCTGGCCAAGTCAGCCCAATTATCTTCCAGTGCAAAAGTTTATCACAGGTCTAGTACTGTTTATATACTAGTAGTTCTGCCCACATTCCGTAGCAGACTCTAAGAAAACAATGGCATGATTAATTAAAACATTGACACTGACTTTCCAGCTGCAGATTTTAGAACCTCTGCTCTGAGCATGCCTTTAAAGGACCGGAAGAAAGGGGCTGCCTGTATTGCTTACTTCCCCTTGTGAGTGGGGTGTGAACATAAGAAGAACATACTAGGTCAGACCAAAAGTCCATCTAGTTTAATATCTTGTCTTTTGACAGTGGCCAATGCCAGGTGTTCCGGGGGAATGAACAAAGCAGAGAATCATCAAGAGATCCCTCCCTGTCACCCATTCCCAGCTTCTGAGAAACAGATGCTAGGGACACCATTCCTGCCCCTCCTGCCTAATAGCCATTGATGTGCCAGGCAGGATCATCCATGCCATTTGGATAAGTAGGGTAGAACGTCCACAGTGCTAGGTTGGATGACTACAGATCTGAGAGAAATTAGCTTGAGAGAGTTCCTTCCAGGTTTGAACACCTGCCTGTCTCTGAGGGTACGTCTACACTACAGCGCTAGTTCGAACTAACTTAGTTCGAATTAGTTAATTCGAACTAAGCTAGTTCGAACTAACGCATCTAGAACTAAAAACTAGTTCGAACTAGCGTTTTGCTAGTTCGAACTAGTAAGTCCACATTGAGTGGACTCTGAACAGGGCTTAAGGATGGCCGGAAGCAGTGCCGGCAGGGCATAAAAGGAGGACTTAGAGCATGGAGATACTGTCTCAGGCTAGCCGAGGGCTGCGCTTAAAGGGTCCCGACCCCCACCCCGGACACACAGTTCTAAGGGGTGCCCCGCTTGCAAAGAAGTTCTGGCTTGGAGTGCCCTGAGTGCCCACACTGGGCACATCACACCACTCGGCCATCAGCCCGGCTGCACTTGCCGCAGGCTGCCATCTGGGGAGAGGGAGTAATTGGGGGGCTGCAGGAGAGCTTCCACCCCCAGAAGCCCGCAGAGCCAGCCCAGTCCTCCCCATCGGGGGCTCGTACCCCATTCCTCCCTCACCTCCTTCCACTTACCCTTCCCTAGCCCCCCTTCTTATTGATGTACAAAATAAAGATAACGTTTCTTCCAACATTGACTCTGTCTTTATTGAAAAAAACTGGGGGAGACTGGGAAAAGGAGGTGGGAGAGGGGAAGAGAAAGGCTGGGAGAGGGGAGGGCAACTAACATGATCAGGGGTTGGGAACAGGTCCCAGATGAAGAGAGGCTACAGAGACTGGGACTGTTCAGCTTAGAAAAGAGGAGACGGAGGGGGGACAGGATAGAGGTCTCTAAAAGCAGGGGTTGGGTGGAGAGGGTGCATTCAGAAAAGTTCTTCATGAGTTCCCATAAAGAAGGACTAGAGGACACCAAAGGAAAGGAATGGGTAGCAGGCTTGAAACTAGTAAGAGAAAGTTGTTCTTGACAAAGCAAATAGTTAACCTGTGGAACTCCTTGCTGCAGGAGGCTGTGAAGGCTACAACTAGAACAGAGTTTAAAGGGAAGTGAGATCAAGTCATGGAGGTTGGGTCCATGGAGTCCTATTAGCCAGAGGGTAGGAGTGGTGTCCCTGCCCAAAGTTTGTGGAAGGCTGGAGAGGGATGGCACGAGACAAATGGCTTGATCACTGTCTTCGGTCCATCCCCTCCAGGGTCCCTAGGGTTGGCCGCTGTTGGCAGACAGGCTACTGGGCTAGATGGACCTTTGGTCTGACCCAGTACGGCCATTGTAAGCTCAGGGCTCAGTGTCGGGGGTCTCAGTGGACCCCCTTGATTTTCATGCACACCTGGTCCTGGGTGGCCAGGCTGGCAGCTCTCCTGCCCTAGACGGCCACTTTCCTGTGCCTAGTGCAGAGATCGTGGACAAGGTCCATTATGTCTGCACTAGCCCAGGAAGGTGCCCACTTCTTGCGGTCCTGGGCAAGCTCCCGGGAGCCGCCAGCCTGGGCCTGGGGAGAGGGATATTGAGAGTGTTTATGAATAGACAGTTTGGGAAAAAAATTGATCCGAACCAAATCTGAACATTTTATTTAGTGTCCGACATATAATTTTAACTTCCTAGAAAGCTGATGAGTTTTAACATTGTAGTTCTGGTCTCATGCCTCAGCTCTCAGGTGGGGCAGGCACCATGATGCACCTAAGTCACAAGACTCCTGTGATACCCTGACTGAGTTGCATGTCTTCATTGAAATCGAGCCCTAGTAATTGGCACCTGGTTCTGGACACTCAGATTAATCAGGCCTGGGTGTGAGCAATCATACTGTAAATCCATATTCAAGTTATGGAAGTCACCCTGCTGTTGTATACAACTATGCAGATCTTTAGGATTTCCAGTGTTCTATTGTCCACGTTTCTTAGTGCTAGAGTAAGCTGAGCTGTTCTGTGACTCTTTTCTGGGTAATTGTAGGAGAACTTGTGCAATTGTGGGAAGGACTTTGGAGGACTTGGCACTTGAGTAATTTAGCAATATTCTCACTGCAAAGTTGGTGGGATACCAGCCTGATCGAAAATAGTACTTTATTTATTTATTTATTTATTTATTTATTTATTTATTTGTGTTTGTTTATTAGCACTTCAAGTTCTTCCTGCTTATTCACCATACTTCTTGCATTTGTATATAGCATCCAGATGCAGATTTGATTTTGCCCTCCATTTCTGCCTTGTCCCTCCTTTAATCTCTGCTATTATAGCCCATGCTCCCTCCTATTTCTGAGCCATCTCCCAGGTTTCCATGTTTTTCACTTACCAATGGGCTTTTGTCACCTGCGTCCATCAAACATTCTGCTCAGATTTTCTCACTAGGGGTGTGTCTAGACTACAGGGTATTTTCAAAAAAAGTGGCCCTTTTTTGAAAAAACTTCCTCTGTGTCTAGACTGCTGCCACATTCTTTCAAAAGTAAATCAAAAGAACATGGTGGTTTTTTCAACCACAGTAAACCTCATTTTATGAGGAAGACCACCTTTTTTTGAAAGTGCTCTTTCAAAAAAAGGTGTTCTTGAACGTGAACTGTGCTTTTTCGAAAGAGAGCATCCAGATTGTGTGGGTATTCTCTTTTGAAAAAGCAGCATGCTTTTTTGAAAGTGCTAGTTGTAGTCTAGATGCTCTTTTTCGAAAGAGGCTTGCAGTTTAGATGTAGCCTATGCTCTCTGGAACTGCTTCTTCATGACCAATTGCCCTGGTTTGGTAATAGCTGATTTGCCTGCTCTTTTGAAAAAGCCGTTTTCTAAAAAGTTTAGAACATTCATTGTGTTTTCACAAAATTATCTACAACCAACAGATGGAAACGGAACCCCTGCATCGTTCATTTGTCATGTCTGCAAACACTGTCCCTCCCCCCCCCCCAATAGCCAAGCTGTTTGTGGAAGGTTTTGAGGCACAGAGGGGTGAAGACACGGATCTGGACAGCTGCCATTTTGGAGATCTGGGTTCTGTGCCCTGCACCATAACCTCTGAGTGGGACATGAGACCTGAGAAGTTAGGTGCTGAAAAGTACAGAATTATTAACGAAAGTCATCAACAGAAGATACATTTCTATTCATGGTCTCCTCATCCTGAGCCTTGTGCCAAATATACCCAAAGGTATATTGAAAGGTGCTGGCCAGATTTTGTTTGTCCTTACCCCAGCCAGATTCTGTGATTGCCCATTAAAAGAAAAGTGAATACAGATAGAATAGGCTGTGGCTTAAGCAGCAAGCCTCAGCAAGATCTGAGGACAACATTGCTGGAACATGGATTTTTTTTAACTGGTCATAATTCTGTCCAAAATATTTTTTTTCTTGCGAGTGGGCTTCTAGACCTCCTAAGGTTAGAAATGTTTTTCTAGTTGAAAGTGTTAGACTGCCTTAGTACAAGCTCCCAAATATCCCTTTATATCATTGCTTGTTTTCACTGACATCTTACCTGGGGCATCCATGAGCACCAAAAACACAACAGCAACGAGAAGATAAAGGATCTTCATAGCTGGAGGTTGGCTGGGAACTCAGTATCACTGGAGAGAAGAAACACCAAGCCAGGGAGGAGACAGAGGACACTGGGTTACTGGGGATTGAGAGATGGTGAATTGTACAAATCTTGCTCTAATCAAAATAACATTTTAATATATGTTCTGATAATTACCCTCTCAGCACCAGAGATGCCCTAGGAGGATTTCAGAAAAATACAGTTATGAGAGGCAAGATAGCTTTTAAAAACAGAGCTTTTGTAAATCATTTTAGTTCCCCAATTACTGTATTACATTTCTCATTGAAATCTTTTTATCTGAAGCCAAAGTACAGAGTGGAAAATTATTGCACATGTATGTGCTTTATTATCCCAAATAGAACTGAAAACAACGAAGAAATTACAGAAAGCAAAATAAAGCTGGTTGGGTGCTCATGTGTCTAAATTAATCATGTGACGTTACACATAATAAATCACATTCATACATTTAAGGCTTTATCACAGCCTTATTATTGAGGAAACCTTTATCCTGATTCTGTTCTATACTAAGGAGGTGACTTTGCTACCAACATTGAAGTAGGGATGCTTAAATGCAGGTTCTTATTCATTTCTAGCCAACTGTTTGTCAACTGAATTACAGGAATTCCTGTGTCACTACAACCAAAGAACTCCACCATTAGAATTCAGAAAGTCAAACAAATTATTTAAGTAGTAAGGCTGACAATTCAATTAGTTATCACACTGTAAACCACAGGCATACAATGGAGTAATTTGTTTAAACCAGCTACTATCAATTCAATTCAAATTTGGCCCAGATGCTCCTCCATCATGATGGGGAAAGGTAGCCAGGCCAAATTTGAGTGAGTGGTGTTGTGACACTTTATAATTATTGAATTACTAGAAGGTTCGGTACACCTTCCTAAAAAATGTGACATGTCCTCTCCCAGTCGGAGAATCTCTCATTGCAACCATGCTAATGTCTATGGAATTGTACCTGTATCCTTCAGTCTTGGGGCCACTTTCATCCAATGTTCAAAGTTAACTAAATATTCAAATAGTGCAAAAATGTTTCCCTCACCACCCAAATCAAAGCTTCTCCCTCTTTCTGTCAAAGTTGGGAATTATCCCACATTGACATATTTGATATGCATTAACACAGCACGTCTACAAGTTTAAAGTAAGGCATTGCAGAAGAAGAGGATTAGATTATCAGCTGTATGCTATTTTCCATCATTCATAAGAACATAAGAACGGCCATACTGGGTCAGACCAAAGGTCCATCCAGCCCAGTATCCTGTCTGCCGCCAGTGGCCAGCACCAGGTGCCCCAGAGGGAGTGAACAGACCAGGGGATCATCAAGTGGTCCCTCTCTTGTAATCCATTTCCAGCCTCTGACAGACAAAGGTTAGGGACACCATTCCTACCCATCCTGGCAAATAGCCATTTCATGGACCTAACATCCATGAATTTTTCTAACTCTCTTTTGAACCCTGTTAAAGTCCTGATCATCACAACAACATCATCAACATAAAGTCTTGGTCTTCACTCACAGAGATGGAGGAGGGAACTGGCCCCGCCCCTCACTGTCTTAAGGAGCCCAGATTTGACCTTGGTTGGAAACACTGAAGCAGCATCAAATGAGGTGCCTGCCTAATGCAGACGCACCCCACTCTTCCTGCGTCTCTCCTTCTTTCCTTCCCCTTTCTCTCCTCCACCTTCCTCACTGCCTCCCTTCGTTCCCTGCCCTGAGGACCTGCTCTCTTTTGCTGAACCCCTCTTCTGTCTCCTCTGTCCTTTCTCTCGCTCAGTCCTTCTTTCAAACTTCATCTGAAATTCCTTATTTGTTGTTTTCTTGCCTGTTTTCTCTTCCCTCTTTCTCCCCAGCTTTTCTCTCCTCTTCTACCTTCTCTTTCATCCCCCTCCTCTCCCTTTCTCCTCCTTCACTCCCGAAATCCTCTCCTGTTCTAGCTCCCACAGCTGTCAAGTTAGTTCATCTACGGCTGAAGCGGGGGGCACACTGTTCATTTGGATAACTAGGATTTCCTGATAAAAGAAACGTTGATAACTTCAAATATCCTGTCTATGGTTTTAACTCAGGCAGCTTTAAAAGAACCAACTTTTTCATTCTGGTAAACATCACACATGTAGTTTTTTACTTCTAAGTGACGTGAGGCGTGTTCTCCAGCTCAGCCTCTCCGAACCCTAGGTGGACACCTGGAGACTCCATTGAAGGAGGTCACTTGCTCAGTGGAGTTAAAACAGCTGTGCTCTTCTTCTGTTTCTGGATCTCACAGCTATCTCCCTAAACGGGACTTTAAAGAAAGAATTAAAGGGTGATTATGAGAGAAGTGACTATAATAGTTACCACACAGAAGCTGCTTCCAGTAGCTAGGTGATGACAGTCCTGTCTCTTCCAAGTATTTAAGCATCAATGTTGACCAGAACTGCCAGTTTTATACAGTTGGTGAAGGTTTGGTTTCTTCTTGGCAAAACTGCTGTGGACCAATCAGAAGGTGACTCCTGCTTCTGGGGAAGATGTGAACTGTCCAACCACAGCGTGGACGTTGGAATTCTTGCAGCTCTGTCTGTGGAAAACTCCATGGTCTTTCTGCAAAGCATCTTGTGCCATCCCAGATTATGTAAGGCACGTTGAGCCACTGTGCCTTGTGCAAAATGTCTTGGTACATCTAAGCTCTGACCAGCTACTTCTGCAGGCCACTTCCTGGGGGGGACTGCCCTGCGGGGTAGTGCTTGGCCAACTTGACATGACCAGGGGGGGGCTGCCCTGCAGGGTAGTGCTTGGCCAACTTGACATGACCCCTCGTCAAACCCTCAGTTGTAACATTAACAGTCAAGTACAGACACAAATGGTGCCTGCTGGTGCTAAGCACCTCTCAGGTTCCTCTCATTCACATCAGTCAGGCAGGAGAGGAGAAATGATTGGGCTGACACTCTGCCTAGGAAAATGCAGGACAAAATTCAAAGGGTTCTCTGATGAATGTGACAATACAGGGCTGCTTGTACCTCTGTCCCCTTGCTGATCTCTGAATTTGCCAGTCAGGCATTACACCTTGGGCACCATCCTGTCCTAAAATGGAATGTCCTAAGTCTCCCACTCTCAGGATATGTCCACCCTGCAATCTGAGGTGTGCTTGCAGTTCATAGATACGTCCCAGAACCAGCTGAGGTACCCAGAGCAATGATGCCACCAAAGCACAGACTTGTAACGTAAGTAGGTATCCTGGGCCCTGGATAGACTTTTGCAAGTCCATTCTGCTGTCCAAGCTGCCAGGGCCTCACTGCTATTGTTATTCCAGCTATCTAGGGGTACGTCTACACTACAGCCTAAAGCTAGCTCAGGTACCTCTAACCAGGCTGCAGACGCTCCTCGGCCAACAGTTCAGCTATCTAGCTAAAGCTAGCTCAGGTACCTCTAAACAGGCTGCAGACGCTCCTCGGCCAACAGTGCAGACATACTCTGTGACCTGGGATGATGTACAACCCTCTGGCTACACCAACAACTTACTACCATGCAAGTCTGGCTCACTAGTGCCTCTTGCTTTTGGGAGCTTTGGCAAGAGCTACACCTTCTGGCTGCATCTAGACTGGCATGATTTTGTGGAAAAACTTTTAATGGAAAAGTTTTTCCGTTAAATGTATTTCCGCAAAAGCGCGTCTTGATTGGCAAGTGCCTTTGCGCAAAATCTTGCCAGTCTAGATGCACCCTCTGAGAACAGGAGCCTTTATTTATCAAGTGTTAAGAATGAATTAGAGAAAATGGTCTTAAGACAATAAAGAGCCAACACTCATGTTTAAACTCAGCTAACAATGTTTCAGTGTATGTAAAGTTAGACAGGTGTCTTTCCTGAATGCCTCCTTTCCTGTGGCCTGCCAGCCAGGGTAGCATGGGGGGTAGCTAATACAAAAGGCCATCAAATCAATGGAGTTCCCTGGAATAGGGAGTGAATTAGTGTGACCTATTGAAAATTTGGGTTTCTTTAGTCTGGAGAAGAGAAGACTGAGCTGGGGTAGGTGAACAATTTTCAAATACATAAAAGGATGTCACAAGGAGGGAAGATGGTAAATTGTCCTTAGTAACCAACCTCTGAAGAGCAAACAAGGAGCAATGAGCTTAACAAGAGAGGTTTAGGTGGGATATTAGGAAAAGCTTCCTAGCTGCCTAGTATCAGAGGGGTAGCCGTGTTAGTCTGAATCTGCAAAAGCGGCGAGGAGTCCTGTGGCACCTTATGGACTAACTGAAGTGTAGGAGCATAAGCTTTCATGGGCAAAGACCCACTTCATCAGATGCATCCAGTGCTTAACCACCTAGCTGCCTAGGGGATTAACCACTGGAATGAATTGCCTAGGAGAGACTGTGGAATCTCCATCATTGGAGATTTTAAAGAGCAAGTTGGACAAACACCACTCAGGTCATTAAGAGTAACAAACTTACAAACAGCAACAGAGAGCTGAGGGAAAAAACTGTGTTTCTGAGTTTAATGTTGAATTGGTACAGATATTGTAGTCAAGGGAAATCAAGTGCTTCTGGAACAAGAAAAAAAACCTCTCAGTAACACTTTGGACAATACTTAGTTGTGCAGGAGACTAGATTTAATTCTATTTGAGATAATAGATTCATAGAAGACGGTGCGTCTGTGGTTCACAAAGGAGTTAGATTGTGTAAGCAACACTCACTGACTAAAGTAACCACAAATTCATCTTGTGGTGTGTGGCAAACAACTTTTTTCAGCTTTTTTGTACATGCTTTGTACTTAGAAAATCATAATAGAGATACTACAGATTAAAAACTTATGAGATATGACAGTATAACTTTAGAAACTACATAATCATAGAATACTAGGACTAGAGGGGACCTTGAGAGGTCATCGAGTCCAGTCCCCTGCCCTCATGGCAGGACCAAATACTGTCTAGACCATCCCTGATAGACATTTATCTAATCTACTCTTAAATATCTCCAGAGATGGAGATTCCACAACCTCCCTGGGCAATTTATTACAGTATTTAACCACCCTAACAATTAGGAACTTTTTCCTAATGTCCAACCTAAACCTCCCTGGCTGCAGTTTAAGCCCATTGCTTCTTGTCCTATCCTCAGAGGGCAAGGAGAACAATTTTTCTCTCTCCTCCTTGTGACAACTTTTTAGATACCTGAAAACCACTATCATGTCCCTTCTCAATCTTCTCTTTTCCAAACTAAACAAGCCCAATTCTTTCAGCCTTCCTTCATAGGTCATGTTCTCTAGACCTTTAATCATTCCTGTTGCTCTTCTCTAAAATCTAAGTTAAACATTCTGATACATGACTCTGCAAGTTGAGGAAGTTTCATTGCCAAGGTCATCTCACTAAAACAAATATTGCAAGCATTTTAGACCATGCTATGTGTTTTTTTAATTTTTGGAAAGATCCTATTATTGCTGAGGTCATCTCACTAAAACAAATATAGCAAGCATTTTAGATCATGCTATGCGTTTTTTTAATTTTTGGAAAGATCCTATAGGAAGAGGCCTGTAGAAGGCCATGTCACAAGTGGTTTTGCAAAAACCACTGTGACCTAACTTATCTTACACTATAGCGATGGCCAATTATATCTTGCATGAAGATCTTGGAATTTTACAGGGGGAAAGGCTGCCTGAATTAACATGTTGCTCTCTAAAGCTCACTTCTGCATGGAAGAGTCAGAGAGCATCTGGCATTACATCGGCCACTGAAAGCATCCGCTGTGTGGTAACAACTCAACTCTCATCGCTAATAAGCACAATAATAAATGTTTTTACATGATATTTCACATTCCCACTCCGGAGAGGATCTAGTTAACTTAAAGTGACAAAGCCTGCCAGAACTATTAGCACAACATAGAACCTGTGAAAGCGAAGCCATTTAAACAGGCAGTTGCCAACCCCGGTACATACTGTCAGTTTCTGATTTTACTGTGTTAGTCTTAGGACGTTAATTTAAAATTTGCTTTAAAATTATTTCATTCATGCATTGCTGAAGATGACTCACCTCTCTAAAATATCATCCCTCCCCCAGCTGCATCAAGCATAGGACATCAGTTTAATAGTATTGCACAGGGCCACATAAATCCAAAGGACAGCCTGGGAAAGATTCTCATCCTACCAACTGTTTCTCAAGGGCCTGTTCCAGATGCAACATTAATTTGCTCAGCTGAGTGGCCTGTATAATTTATGGAAAATACTGTCGGAAAGAAGGAAAGGGCTACAGATTTGCAATGTGGCCAAGTGAACTTTACAGGGGAACCTTCATACTTAAAACGTTCACATTCTTTCTGAAGAACGTTGACATTGTCGTCACCAAGAGTTTTATAATTATTTTGCCTGATTTGCCCCAAGGGGGAAATACAGAGGTAAGAGCTGAGCTGCTTTCAGGACAGAAGGTTTTGTCCACTTTTCAATGACAGTGAATACACCTTTTTGCTCACACTCAGGGTCTCATTTGTAGAAGTTGACAGCAATGGCCAAAAATGCTCTTGTCAATGTATATAGCACCGTAGGGACATTGCCAAAAGCGACAATCACCCCCATGGCTTGTACACTCCCTTCGGATCACCAAAGCGCGGGTGGATCCTGAGAAAGAAAAAGATCTTTAGTCATCCTTCTGCAGAGCAGGGTCAATTGCAGTTGTGATTGCAGAATGACAAGCATACGCCATTCACTGAGATCTGGCCAAATTAGCCCAATTATTTTCGAGTGCAAAAGTTTATTACACCTTTACTATAGGTTGAACCTCTCTAGTCTGTCACCCTCAGGATCTAATGCTGAACCAGAGAATTTGCAAGGTGGCCAATATTGTCTAGCAACATTACCAACACTTCTGCTGCTTTCTGGGCTGTTAGAGGACATTTGGGGTAAATTAGAACTAAATAACAGCACAGAACACTGAGAGCCAGGACTGGTAGCTATAAACAAACTTTTGGGACCATGGAAAACTTGGCCACACCCATGCTAAGTGGACATCTGGCTAACTCAAATCATGCCAGACCACGCATGTTGCCGGACCAGAGAGTGCCAAATTAGAGAGGTTCAACCTGTACTGTGTAATTGGTTTTAGTTCTACCTATATTCATGGCAGCCTCAGGGAGTGATTTAATGAGAGGCACTGACTCCCCAGCTGTAGAATTTAGAACCGTAGCTTGGAGCACAGGTATCCTTTATTGTCCCATGCCTTTAAGCAAGTGAAGGCAAAATATGGCCTGCCCAACTTTCATAAGAAAAAAAATAATGGAGATTGCCTATCTCCTTCATAAGAAAAAAATAATGGAGATTGTCTATCTCCTTGAACTGGATAGGACCAGTCCTCTGCCTTCTGAAAGGTCATTGAGTCCAGTCCTCTGCCTTCTCAGCAGGACCAAGTACCATCCCTAATGAATTTTTGCCCCAGATGGCCTCTGCAAGGATTGAACTCACAACTCTGCATTTAGCAGGCCAATGC